AGGCAATAGTAACTGGATATCTTATTTTCTTCTCTAAAAAAAAAAATCTTCACACTAGTTATGAATCAGATAATGCCCCCAAATCTAAGTATTTGACATCTGCCTTAGTCTGAAAAGCATATTGAGCTCAATATTTAAAATCAACCAGGAAATGTATCAAATCTGGTATTGCTAGTACATGTTTTTCAGCACCTGCTACATAGAACCAAGATGAAGCACTTAAAATGGGTGAGGGACAGCTTTCAGCTAACTTTTTAATTAACATTCACTACAAACAACAGATGGACTTCAATGAGTACAGCCTGTAAACAATAATACTTGGCCCACATGTCCTCTATCTCTAATTAAATCAAGAGATTTGGGGTGGGTAGGTGCACATGAACAGATGAACATGACATGACAGAAAGTCAGATCTATGACTTATCTTCTCCTCTGAAATCTCAATGATTAGAGCTTCCTCGTTTATTTAATCTGTTATACCTCTCAATCATTAGCCATCTATGGTTGCTTGTAAAAACAGAGGTTCTCAGCACAATGTCAAGCAAGTTGCCAAAGACTAGAAAAGTGACTACCCCTCCTAGGCAGGAAACACTAGTTTATTGCAAGCTATTGTGTTTTGTTGTATTTGCTTTGTTTTCATTTTAGAGACAGGATCTCCCTCTGTTGCCCAAACTGGGGTGCAATATCATCATGACTATAGCTCATTGCAGCCTCCATCTCCTGGCCTCAAGTGATCCTCCTACCTCAGCCTCCTAAAGTGCTGGGATTTCAGCACTTTGCTGGGTCACAAACTATTGCTGGAGGGAATCAGATGCCTGTTAATTCTTCCTGTAGAAATGTGAAAATAACCTGGCTTACATTCAATTAATAACCATATTCTGGCCGGCCATGGTAGCTCACACCCATAATTCTAGTATTCTGGGAAGCCAAGGCCGAAGGATCACTTGAGCCCAGGAGTTCAACAACAGCCTAGGCAACATGGCAAAACTCCATCTCTACAAACAATACAAAAGAAACAGAAAAAAAGTAGCTGTAGTCCCAGCTACTTCAGAGGCTGAGGTGACAGAATTGCTTGATCCCGGGAGGCAGAGGTTGCAGTGAGCTGAGATCCCACCACTGCACTTTGTCTCAAAAAATAAAAATAAAACAACCATATTCCAGTGAACTAGTTCATTATTATCCTACACTGGTCAAAGGAAAAACCAGAGGTGCCATTTCTAAAACCACACAAAAAGTTACCATTGGTACACCCTACACCTACAGCCTAACAAGTTGAGTCACAGAATGGTGGGCTCAGCTAGTCTATATCATCACCTACCACTGTGCTTTTTAGGTGGGTTCTAATGCCCTTCCATGTGTTCTGCCTGACTGTGACAGAGTTTTCAGCATCCAAATCACTTTGACTGCTCAATAGAAATGGCATGTTTCACTCCTGGGCCAGATCTGAGAATTACTCAGAGCTTCCTCGGCTACAGTCTAGGAATCTGCATTTTAACAGATTCTAAATGCTCATAATGAAACTAGCTCCCTGGGCTGATTCAGGTTATTCCCATACCCAAAATGATTCTTTAGTATTAATTTGCAAGGTTCATAAAACAAGGGCCCAGGTATCATGTTTCCTGCTCTCTGACATCCGAGCCACTGGAACACCCATGCCCAGCCTGGCTCACCTGAGGTCCCCACCCTGCCCCTTCAACTTGGCTTCAATCAACGCTTCACCACGGAGACACCAACCACCAACTTCCTCATTTTTCTTGATGCAACTACATATGTGATTCTGGCCTCCAGTTTATTTTTCAAAGGAGGGATCACATTACTACACATTGTTCTCTTTTTCTAGCCCTGGGATTTGTGTAAAGAAAAAAATATGCCAGGCAGGGTAGCTCACACCTGTAATCCCAGCACTTTGAGAGGCCGAAGTGGGCGGATCACTTGAGGTCAGGAGTTCGAGACCAGCCTGGCCAACATGGCGAAACCCCATCTCTATTAAAAATACAAAAAAATCAGCCAGGCATGGTGGCACGTGCCTATAATCCCAGCTGCTTGGCAGGCTGAGGTAGGAGAATCATTTGAACCCGGGAAGCAGAGGTTGCAGTACACCAAAATTGCACCACTGCACTGCAGCCCACATGACAGAGAGAGACCCCATCTCAAAAAAAGAAAAGAAAAGAAAAAGATACTGGATATTATTTAAGCATAAGCGACTGTAAATCATGTGCATTGGCCCAAACATAATTCCCTTTCTTCCTATTAAACTAGTCCATAAACTACAAAATGAGGATTACTAGACAGCACAGATATTTCTACATGCATATATAATTAAAGAAATACAGCAAAATGAGCTGTGATGTACAAATATACCTATCTAACCCTATTTTCTCCTGCACTCCTCACAATATATCTCCAAGTATTTTCATCAGTAAAATGCAGGAACTCTCTCATAAGATTGCTACAAGAATGAAATGAGGCTGGGCACAGTGGCTCATGCCTGTAATTTCAGCTGGAAGGTGGAGGTGGGTGGATCACCTGAGGTCAGGAGTTCAAGACTAGCCTGGTCAACATGGTAAAACCCCATCGCTACTAAAAATACAAAAATTAGCCAGGCGTGGTGGCAGACACCTGTAATGCCAGCTACTCAAGAGACTGAGGCTGGAGAATTGCTTGAAGCAGGGATGCAGAGGTTGCAGTGAGCTGAGATTGCACCACTGCACTCCGGCCTGGGTGACAGAGGGAACTCTGTCAAAAAAAAAAAAAAGAATGAAATGAGAAAATGCACATAAAATGTTTAGTCCAGCATCTAACACAGAAGGAATGTGCCTAAGTCCTAACTGTTATGATCAGGCCAGGGTGTTTTGCGTACATGCTCAGCGCTGCAAAGTTCTTTTAAATTAATTTACTCAAAACTTGCTTTTCTCATGAGGAAACCAAAGTGCTAAGAGTGAAGAGTCTTACCCAACAATGCACAGCTACTGGCAGAGCCAAAGCAGACACCAGTGTTTTCTAAAGCATAAGTCAGTATTTTTTACATCACTCCATGATACTTTCATTCACACTCCTAATTGAAATGTAGGACCAAGAGAGTCATAAGGTTCAGAATATGCCAGTCATCTATGGATTATGCCCAAGCAGACCTGGAGGAGTAAACGATAGAATGAGATTGAGTTTGAAAGTAATTCAACTCTTATACAGCTGATTGTTTTCCTATTTTTTGTGGTGGTAGAGCGGGCATTTATGTCCCACCTTGAGTGGTTTCTTTTGTTTCTCTTTTGTTGTATCACTTTACTCCAGGAAGTACAAACAACTATTATGCAGTATTTGGGGTTTTGTCTGGTGAGACTTAGCAACGAACATAAAGGCATTGAAAAGATTTACATTTCTATTTGACTAAAGGGGGCCAAGTGGCAGGAAATCCAAGGACAAGTTACTCTCCATGTTTGAAATATAAAACTGGAAGTGTTATGTCAGAAAGAGAGCAATAGATCACTATCATTTTTTAACTTTAAATTCCTTTTCTTGGGTCTGTGCTTAGGTACTTAAAGAGAAGTTGTATATTCTCACCTACACATTCATTCTCTAATAATTCTCCACTCCGATCTATTTATAAAACTAAGAATAATATGCAGATGAAAAAGTCAGTGCTTGTGAAACGTAAGATTTTACTATAAATAATCTCTTGTAGTGAATAACGAGACAATACTAGCACTCTTTGTTTGACATCACTTCAAATTTTTTATAGCCACGTTGGCATTCTGCTCATGAAATACAAGTAAAGCGATGACTTCATTCCCGAGGATGAAGGATAATTGATCTTAACCTTCCTGTCACTTGTTCTTAACTCAAAGCACTAATGCAATGGAAGGCACTGATAAATAAAATTTCTCCAGGAAATGCATGGCATTGTGACAGCTAACTTCCAAGTTACCTCCAAACAGTACGAAGGACAACATGATTCAGGATCTCAATTCAGGAAACCCTTGCCCCACAGTGTGAATGGAAAGCTGCCAAAAATATTTTGTTGAAAAGAAATTCAAACTTTGGAGGATATTGTTTTTCTTCCCCAGTTTTTAAAGGAAAAAAAAAAAAACTAACTTCAACAAAATCCCAACAATTTAAAATGAAGCAATGTTCAAAGCTGGATTATTCATTTACATTAAACTTATGACTGTGATGCTTTTACTACCACAAACCTAAATCATTTTGCCACCTTTATCTCCTGATGTTACCTACTAATCCTGATTTTCCACACATAACACATAAAGCTAAGTAATGGCTCTTGAAAGCTGTGTATGACTATATGGAGTTGCTACTTCCAAAATAGTAGCCCTGTCTCCTTTCCCTTTTTTCCAGTCACTGATGATATTTACCATACTAAATTTAAGTATGTAAATATGGCTGATTTGGACCACATAATTTTGCCATACATTTTAAAATACAGGTCAACAGTGAGATTAAGGCAAAAATTTTACCACATTTTTCCAAATCGGAGTCTAAAGAAAGGAGGGAAGATTATTTGGTTTTCAAGTTAGATGTAACATTTCCCTTTCCAGAACAAGTAATTAGGAACTTTCTCTGCTCCTATGCTTCTTTAATGTAAATATGGTAACACTCTCAACGTAAGCTAATCTAGAGAACAAACGCCCAAAGCACACTGTCACCCAATACACGAGTGAGCGCGCGCGCGCGCACACACACACACACACACACACACAAAACACACACGAGTGGCCAGAGGACAGAGCAGATCCAGAAACCCAGTGCTCAGCACCTGGCATGGAAACTGTCACCCTTGACAACCTTCACACAAGCACACCTGGCTGGCTTAGATTTGCAGCACCAGGACACCTCACTGGTAACCCAGCTGCAGCCCACCATCACACTCCACAATGCAAACCCACAACCGCACACCCCGTCGCTCTCTCCAAGAGACCAGTACGCCGGTCCCAAGCCTCTCTGGCTCCGGGCCCGTTCCGAGTTGCCGCGGCCGCCCCGAGGCCACTCACCGTGTCTGCAGTCGCAGTAGCCCCAGTCCACCTTGCCGCGGGCGTCTCCGTAGAAGCACCAGGGTCTACCCGCGCCGTCGGGGCTTCGACAAAAGTTGTGGCGCTGCCCTCGCAGCTGAGCCCAGCCAGCCGGGGACGACCGCTCCAAGGAGGGTGGCACCTCCGCCCACCGCAGACACGGGGCGCCGAAGTCCGTCACGCTGACCCACGGCTCGCCGGCGGGGCAGCCCCGGGGGTGCGGCCCGGGAGTGTGCCCCGCCTGGAGGGCGTGCGGGCGCAGGGCAGGGAGCGCCCGCGGGGGGCGCCGGAAGCGCGGGAGAGGCGGCGGCGGGCGCGTCCTCCGGGGCCGCTGCTCCGTGGGAAGGTTATGAGGGTACAGCGGACCCGGAGGGGGCGAATGGCGGGGGCGGTGGTGGAGGGAATCATTGAGGACAGACTCAAAGCCGACCACTTCAGGGAGCGCCCCGAACACCAGGGCCAGCGCGAAGCGGGCGAGCGTCATGGTGCCAGCGCCGCGGGGTCTGGTCCATGCCCGCCAGCTTCTCAGGCTAGGAGCGGAGGAGAGGAGGGGGCGGGGGCGGGGCTGCCGCGTCCCCCGAATCCCCCAGCCTCCTCCCGCCCTCGCGCGCGGACCGCCTTCACCTCCCCACTTCGCCTCCCACCGCGGGTGTCCCGCCGCGCCTCGGCTCCGGTCAGCAGGCAGCGGCCGAGGGCGGGGCAATCCGGAGCTCAGCTGTGCCCCGGCCCGCGGGGAGGACGGAGAAAGGGAAGGTGCGGACCGCTGCGGGACGTGATGGGGCCTGAGCCCCAGGTAGCGGCTCAGGCAAGAGCCCGGGAACTCTGCCCCCTGGGGGCGGGCGCCGGCCGCGCAGGCTGCTCCGGACCTCCGCTCGGCCCCTGCCCGACCCTGCCGCCCGCGCGGCACTGCCTGCCAGCTGCAGGGGCCGAGCCCGAGGGTGCCTGAGCGGGGCATGGTCTTGGCTGCCCCTTGCCAGCATGCGGCACCAGCCCAGCGTTGGCGGCTCCCAGGTCTGGCACCGGACCCTGCGGTCTTCTCTCCTCTACCCTCGTCGTCCCGTATCTTGTTTCCTCTGTTTTGAAATCTTTAGCAAAGTGTGAATGGATTTATATGCAGCTCACCCCTGACAACTCCCAGGATAAAAGTTATCAAAGCCCACGAGGAATGTTAAAGCCGTTTCACTAAACTGTAAGCTCTTCAAGGACAAGACCATGTTTTATTCAGCTTGATATCCCTGAGCTTAACACCGTGCCCCAATCAACATTTGCTGAAATTAAATTCCTGAACCGACTCAGGGAAAGGAGCTTGAGCCTTTCTGCTTCCTGCCTCCCACTTTCCAGCCGGTGCCCTGGACAACACCAGTTGTTTGGTTATTATTGGGATTCAGTGAGGCTCTCTTAATACCAAATTTCCTCTCTAACCAGAGAAGACTTCATCCGTCCCAGTCTCCATCCTATCCAAAAAATCCATCCCCGAACACCTGCCTCGGTTTTTGCAGGACAAGGGACTTCACTTAAGCCTATTCATTTGCCTCTCCAGAGTGGACTCTGCCTGCTGGCAATTTTGAAGCTTCACTGTCGGCTCGACCTAGCTCAGTGGGGCCCTTTCAACACTCCTCCGATTCCCACAGGCTCCAAAAAAATGTTGGCTTATAATTAAAAAAAAAAAAAATCACTGGAGCTGGATGTTTTAGCATTTTTCCCTTTCGTTGTTTCTATGCCACCAAAGTTAAACAAGGAAAAGGAAGCCCGTAAAGAAGGTAACTTTTTTTCTTTCTGGCGTGGGTCATGTTTCATTGTGAAAAAACTGTCTCATAATATAACGTACTCTGAAGAAAAATTGAACAACGTTTTCTTGTTTCAGTAAAACATGTTTATTGTTTATTGTTAAAACCTAGGGTTCAATTAGGAACTGAATTAATTCCCTACTAGCTTTAAATAAGCCACCTTTAGCCCGGCGAGGTGGCTTACACCTGTAATCCCAGCACTTTGGGAGGCCGAGGCAGGCAGATCACATGAGGCCAGGAGTTCGAGACCAGCATCGCCAACAAAACTTAGCCAGGAGTGGCGGCGCACGCCTGTAATTCCAGCTACCAGGGCAGCTGAGGCACAAGAATCGCTTGAATCCAGGAGGCAGAGGTTGCAATGAGCCGATTTCGTGCCGCTGTACTCCAGCCTGGGCGACAGAGGGAGATCTTGTCACAATTAAAAAAAAAAAAAATTCGGCTGGGCACGGTGGCTCATGTCTGTAATCCCAGCACTTTGGGAGGCTGAGGCGGGCGTATCACAAGGTCAAGAGATCGAGACCATTATGGCCAACATGGTGAAACCCCATCTCTACTAAAATACAAAAATTAGCTGGGCGTGGTGGTGAGCACCTGTAGTCCCAGCAACTTGGGAGCCTGAGGCAGGAGAATTGCTTGAACCCGGGAGGCAGAGGTTGCAGTGAGCCAAGATCATGCCACTGCACTCTAGCCTGGTGCCTCGTGACAGAGCGAGACTCTCTCTCTGAAAAAAAATCCGTCTTTATTTTTTATGGGTCATTTTTTGTTTCATTCTTATTAATGAAATATTTGATTTTACTTCAGAGAGAATGGGTTAAAAGAAATTATATTAAGAGTCCAGTGATGGGTCATGCGTGGTGGCTCATAGTGATGGGTCGTGCGTGGTGGCTCATGCCTATAATCCAAGCACTTTGGGAGGCTGAGGTGGGTGGATCACCTGAGGTCAGGAGATTGAGACAAGCCTGGTCAACGTGGTGAAACCCATCTCTACTGAAAATACAAAATTAGCTGGGTGTGGTGGTGGGCACCTGTAATCCCAGCTACTCCAAAGGCTGAGGCAGAGAATTGCTTGAACCCGGGAGTTGGAGGTTGCAGTGAGCCTAGATCGTGCCACTGCACTCCAGAATGGGAGGCAAAACAAGACTTCATCTCAGGAAAAAAAAAAAAAAAAAAAAAAAAAAAGTCCAGGGATATATTTGTCAAATCTTTATTCAAGACATTTTTATTCCAGATGTTATTACCCATTTTTTTTTCCATAATAGTTTTCTGACTCCAAATGCATAGTTAAAACTATACTTGTGGAAGGGAATGAAAGATAAAATACGCATCTGGGGTCATCTATTTGTTTATTTTAGTAAGGGTTGACAGAGCTCACTGATCACAGATTTTTGAAATAATAGGTGACATTTCTATCAAGGTCAGCCCTTTTTCTTTCTGTCTCTTCCTCCTTAGGCTACACCTCTGATGGCCCCGGGAAGGCTCATTTTAGGAGTGAGGAGTGGCTGTCTGGACACTGCTCCCCTCCCTTCCCACATGACCCCTACAATCATTGCTTCCATGCTTTCTCAGGGCTGGAGGCAGACCCAGTTTCCAATGCATCTACATAACTTGCAGACAGGAAAATAGTGAGAGGGAAATAAATAAAACAGAGGACCGTTAGATCTGAGCTCCAGAGAGGAGCATAGCTTCGGGCAGTCTGGCTTCTCCTCCACTTCCCTGTACTCCCGAGGCCTCCTAACATTTAACAGATTAGACAGTTGACATACACAAAGTGGAGTTACCCACAAAAAATTCCACATCCAGATTTCCTCATTTAAGTTTTAAAACACTTTTCTTAGAAAATATAAGGACGTTTATGTAATTATGATTTGAGGGCCTCAGCTTGGGTTTTCTGTTTGACAGGCAAAGTGTGTCTTAAATAGCCCTGTTGTTGACATATTAGTCCCCTGCTCTGCTGATATTTTCTCTTTCTCTCTTCTTTCATTCCTCCCTGCTGCTACCAACATACAGATGTTTAGAATTTCCAATTCCCAATTCAGTCGCTGAAATGCATTTATCCTTCTTCTACCTGTCACATCACAGCGTGTGTGGAGTTGGGGGGAATTGAGAGTACATGGGTTTGTAGAAAGAAATCTTTTCCTTCTTTTTTTTTTAAGACAGAGTCTTGCTCTGTCACCAGGCAGGAGTGCAGTGGTGCAATCTCGGCTCACTGCAACCTCCGCCTCCCAGGTTCAAGCGATTCTCCTGCCTCAGCCTCCCAAGTAGCTAGGACTACAGGCATGCACCACCATGCCCAGCTAATTTATTTATTTATTTATTTTTAGTAGAGACAGGGTTTTACCATACTGGCCAGGATGTTCTCGATCTCTTGACCTTGTAATACGCCTGCCTTGGCCTCTCAAAGGGCTGGGATTACAGGAATGAGCCACCATGCCCCACCCAAACCCCTTCCTTCTACCTCTGTTAAGGCATGGCTTAGTCAAAGCTCCCTCCCAGGATTCTCATCACCCTCTCTATTATAGATAACAATGCCAAAGGGAAGAGGAGGCAATTCCATCTTGTTACAACTGTAAGAATCCTGGTCATGTGCAGTAAAGTAAGCCTGTAATTCTAGCACCTTGGGAGGCTGAGGTGGGAGGATTACTTGAGCCCAGGAGTTCAATACTAGCCTGGGAAACCTAGTGGGATTCCATTTCTTAAAAAAAAAAAATGTAATTACAAGGAGGCTGAAGCAGGAGAACTCCTTGAGCCCAGGAGATTGAGGTTGCAGTGAGATGTGATCACGGAACTACACTCCACCTTGGGTAGCAGAGCGAGACCCTGCTTCAGAAAAAAAAAAAAAAAAAAAAAATGCCAAAGCAGATCTTCTGCCTTCCCTTCTTTTTTTTTTTTTTGGAGGTTTCAGTGGGACGGGAGAATCACAAGGAATCAGGTGTTCAGAGGAATGTATTGAGTAGAGGTGAGGAAGGATGTTGAAAAGTAAAAAAAGGAGAGAAGGAGAGGAAGAAAGAGGAAGAAAAAGAGGGAGAGAGAACAGGAATATTGCTTCATTCTAAAAATGGGTATTAATAATGGCTGATCAATATTTTGTGTATTTAAAATGGAGAACTCTATAAATAGTTATGGAGTTCACTTGTTCCGGATCTGAGTTGAAGTCCTGGATATCCTTATTAATTTTCTGTCTTGTTGAGTCTAAATCTCATTATGGGTCTTATGTATCTGGGTATTGAGATCTCTTATTGTTGCATTGATCCTTTTACCACTGTATCTTTGTTGCTTTGAAATCTAATTTATCAAATGTGAGAACTGCAACTCCTGCTTTTTGTTTATTTATTTATTTTTGCTCTCCATTTGGTTGGTAAATTTTTCTCCAACCCTTTGTTTTGAGTCTTTGTGTATCTTTGGATATACCGTTAGGTTTTGGCTGTATCTTTTGATTGGGGGATTTAGTCGATTTAAATTTAGGGTTACTGCCATTTGATGTTAACTGGCTATTTCGTCCATTTGTTGATGTAAATTCTTCTTTATGTTGATGCTCTTTACTTTTTGGTATATTTTTAGAAAAGCTCATACTGGTTGTTCCTTTCTATGTATAATACTTCTTTCAGAAGCTCTTGTAAAGCAGGCCTGGTGGTAATAAAATCTCCGAGTACTTGCTTGTTCATAAAAGATTTTATTTTTCCTTCAATTGTGAAGCTTAGTTTGGCAGGATATGAGATTCTAGGCTGAAAGTTCTGTTCTTTAAGTATGTTGAATATTGGCCCCCACGCTCTTCTGGCTTGTAGGGTTTCCGCTGAGAGATCTGCTGTAAGTCTAATAGGCTTCGCTTTATGGGTAACCTGTCCTTTCTCTCTGGCTGCCCTTAGTATTTTCTCCTTCGTTTCGATCCTGGTGAATCTAATGATTATGTGCCTTGGGGTTGCTCTTCTTGAGGAATATCTTTGTGGTGTTCTCTGTATTATCTGGGGTTGAATAGTGTCCTGCTTTGCTAGATTGGGAAAATTTTCCTGGATAATATCCTGAAAAGTATTTTCCAGCTTGGATTCATTCTCTCCATCACATTCAGGTACACCAATCAAATGTAGATTGGGTCTTTTCACATAGTCCCATATTTTTTGGAGACTTTGCTCATTC